CCATACACTTTTCCTGGTATACTCAGTAAACTTATTCCTCTATAATTTTTACAGTCTCTTTTGTCCCCTTTCCCTTTACATAAAGGGACTATACATGCTCTCCGCCAATCCCTAGGTACCTTTCATACATTTATTAAACAAAAGTACCAACCACTCCAACACTATATCCCCCCCTGCTTTTAACATTTCTGTCATGATTCCATCAGTTCCAGCTGCTTTACCCCCTTTCATTCTACGTAATGCCTCACGTACCTCCCCCACACTTACATTCTGCTCTTCTTCACTCCTAAAAGATGGTATACCTCCCTGACCAGTGCATGAAATTACTACCTCTCTTTCTTCCTTAACATTTAAAAGTTCCTCAAAATATTCTCGCCATCTACCTAATACCTCCATCTCCCCATCTACTAACTCCCCTACTCTGTTTTTAATTGACAAATCCATACTTTCCCTAGTCTTTCTTAACTTGTTTAACTAACTCCAATTTTTTTCTTATTTTCATTAAAATTTCTTGACAGTGCCTCTTCTACTCTATCATCTGCTCTCCTTTTGCACTCTCTCACCACTCTCTTTACCTTTCTGTTACTCTCCACATACTCTGCTCTTCTTATAACGCTTCTGCTTTGTAAAAATCTCTCATAAGCTACCTTTTTCTCTTTATCACACCCTTTACTTCATCATTCCACCAATCACTCCTCTTTCCTCCTGCCCCCACCCTCCTATAACTACAAACTTCTGCCCCACATTCTAATACTGCATTTATAAAACTATTCCAACCCTCTTTAACCCCCCCACTACTCATCTTTGCACTAGCCCACCTTTCTGCCAATTGTAGCTTATATCTCACCCGAACTTCCTCCTCCCTTAGTTTATACACTTTCACCTCCCTCTTACTTGTTGTTGCCACCTTCCTCTTTTCCCATCTACCTCTTACTCTAACTGTAGCTACAACTAAATAATGATCCGATATATCAGTTGCCCCTCTATAAACATGTACATCCTGGAGCCTACCCTCAACCTTTTATCTGCCAATACATAATCTAATGAACTACTTTCATTACGTGCTACATCATACCTTGTATATTTATTTATCCTCTTTTTCATAAAATATGTATTACTTATTAACAAATCTCTTTCTACACATAGCTCAATTAAAGGCTCACCATTTACATTTACCCCTGGCACCCCAAATTTACCTACTAGTCCCTCCATAACATTTTTACCCACTTTAGCATTGAAATCCCCAACCACCATTGCTCTCACATTTGATTCAAAACTCCCCACGCATTCATTCAACATTTCCCAAAATCTCTCTCTCTCTCTCCTCTACACTTCTCTCTTCTCCAGGTGCATACACGCTTATTATAACCCACTTTTCACATCCAATCTTTATTTTACTCCACATAATCCTTGAATTTAAAATACTTTTTATAGTCCCTCTTTTCCTGCCATAGCTTATCCTTCAACATTTTTGCTACTCCTTCTTTAGCTCTAACTCTATTGGAAAACCCCTGACCTAATCCCTTTTATTCCTTCTCCATTAAAAACTCTCCCTCCCCTTCAGCTTTGTTTCACTTAAATTCCAGGACATCCAGCTTTTCTCATTCTAACATCCACAATCTTCTCTTTCTTATCATTTGCACAACATCCACGCACATTCAGACTTCCCACTTTGAAAAATTTTCTTCCTCTTATTCTTTTTAGTAATCTTTACAGGAAAAGGGTTACTACCCATTGTTCCCGGCATTTTAGTTGACTTTTACAACACGCAGGGCTTACGGACGGGGTCAGCGGATGGTCTATGAAAGATGAGGTGAATCATAGAATTGATGAGGGGAAAAGGGGGTGAGTGGTGCACTTAAGAGTCTGTGGAGAAAAGAACTTGTCCCTTTGGAGGCAAAGAGGGGAATGTATGAGAGATGGGTTTTACCAAGGGCTCTTTATGGTGCAGAGAATTCGTAGTTTGGAAGTTGGGAGGAGGTGCGGGATTACCAAAACTGTTTGTCCAGAGGCTGAGGAAGGGTTTGTTGAGGTGGTTTCGGACATGTAGAGAGAAGGGAAAGCGAAACAGAATATGACTTCAAGAGTTTATCAGTCTGTAGTGAAGGAAGGCGGGGTAGGGTCGGCCTAAGAAAGGTTGGAGGGAGGGGGTAAAGGGGGTTTTGTGTGCGAGGAGCTTGGGCTTCCAGCAGTATCGTGAACGTGTTTGATAGGAGTGAATGGAGACAAATGGGTTTTTTAAAACTTGACGTGCTGTTGGAGTGTGAGCAAAGTAACATTTATGAAGGGTTCAGGGAAACCGGCAGGCCGGAGTTGAGCCCTGGAGATGGAAGTACAGTGCCTGCACTCTGAAGGAGGGGGGGTTTTTAAAGTTGCAGTTTAAAAAACTGTAGCGTAAAGCACCCTTCTGGCAAGACAGTGATGGAGTGAATGATGGTGAAAGGTTTTCTTTTTTCGGGCCACCCTGCCTTGGTGGGAATCGGCCAGTTTGATAATAAAAAATAATAATAATATATATATATATATATATATATTATATATATATATATATATATATATATATATATATATATAATATATATAATATATATAAATATTTTAATATAATATAATATATATAATATATAATATATAATATATATATACATATATATATATATATATATATATATATATATATATATATATATAAATATATATAAATATATATAATATATATATATATATAAATATATATATATATATATAATATATATATATAAAATATATATATATAAATTATATATATATAATATATATATGTGTGTGTGTGTGTGTAGATATAAATAAATAGCACTGGCCTGACAAAATTGGGAGACGTCCTAGACCACTTAGCCATCGATGTGATATTGATGTGACATATATGACGTTTTTAAGTTAGGTTTGGCTCAGAACTAAATAATCTAACACCATTTCCAATAATTAAAAAATATATATTTATTAATTCATAAAAGGCTAATTCGGTTTATTAGGTGTGACATGTATTAATATTTATTATTGTAGTCGTAAATAAGAATTCAAAAAAAATATCATATCAGCTATTTACAGAAACTGGAAAAGTCAACAGATGCCTCTAACTGTGACCCAGCTGCCAACTGTTAAAGCGAAAATCCCATGCCAGCACACCATCAATATTACGTGTGGCTTTAATAATATTTTTGACGTCAGTATTCAATTTTACTTCAATATCCCTTATGACGTCATTATTCATCGTAATGTCGATATTACCTTTGATATGTTCTCGTGTTGGCAGTGAAAGTCACGCACAAGCGTGGGTGGAAGCATCCTTAACTCAAACACTGTTAGTAAACAGGTAAATTTTAATACTCCTTCCCGTGTTATTTTTATTGGATAACGCAACGAAAATATGTACTATTTACCGCCATTATTATTATTATTATTATTATTATTATTATTATTATTATTATTATTATTATTATTATTATTATTATTGTTATTATTATTTTATTATAATTATTATTATTATTATTATTATTATTATTATTATTATTATTATTATTACAATTGAGCGTTAGAACCGTAAGGTTCACACATTGCCTGGGAGTGGGAGATAACAAGATTTGTCGCGATGAAAGAGGATAGCTTCACTTCTTTGGGGCAAGACCCCCTTCTCCCTTAACACCCTTCAATGCACCCCCATTTGACGGGAACTAAGGGAAGAGTGAGCCTTTCGAAGTCATAAAAAAAATAAATTGCCTCTGATCACGACTCACCTTCGAGTCGTTGCCGACACCTTCATCCATGACGGTGAAGACGCTTCCTCCAGACTCTCTTGCAATGGGCACGAGGGCGTGTGGAGGCGCTGGTAAACCAGGGCGCTCCGCCAGCGGGTACAGCACCAGCAGAAGCCGTAGGCCGTATCGCTGCACCAGACGTTGCACTTCTTCTGCCTCGCTCTCCCTGCCGTCACCTCCACTCGTTACCAGAACTATGTTGGCTGCCTGCGTAGCCCGTCACAGTAACACCACTTGTAAAACTGCTTTTTAAGGCTTTTTAGTATGAGTGGACGTATGTGTGTGTTTTGCTAACAGAGGTAAACAATATAAGAAACTAAAAGCCTGAATATATTCCACGAGAATGAGAGGTAAAATAGTTTAAGTAATGTTTGTTCTTACCAAGGCTTCACGTAAGTTAGGGTTATAAATAAATTGACTTAAGTAATTCTTTTGGGTTCCGAATCGTTCAGAAAGTTTGTGTAATACAAATGATATTTATTTTTTTTATTGATTATATGTACCAAAGGTCACTATGTGACTAAAACATTCCCCTAAAATAAAGCACAAAATGGCTCCGACATTTACTCTTATGAATCACTAACTCTATACCTCGCTAAAACTGTGATAATTTAGTGTGAAAATTGAGTTAAAAGTATGATAATTTACGTATTTTAACTAAAAAATTAAATGTGACAAAATGCTAAAATAATCCTTTCCCTTCGTATCTTTGTTAACACTGTGGCCAAAAAGACAAATGAATGTAATTTACGTATGCACAGTACTACTTCCATACTATGTAGAGTGCAAAGAAACTTAAGTTCAATTAATTCACTGTAGAGCCAAGTCTGGGAAAGAAATGTAAGGAAAGTGTGACTCCGGGTTACAACCATATGAGTGCTTAGCAAATTAGTTTTTTTATGATATGAATGTAGAAATATGTTTGATATTGTTTTGTAATGTTATCATTGGGGCTATGTGTAAGACCAGTGAGTTCACACACACACACACACACACACACACACACACACACACACACACACACACACGGTCAGGCAAGAAGTGTGATAACATCGTAATTCTAATGATCCTCTTAAATGCAACATCCTCACTCCATCCTTCAAAATGCAAGAACTGTGTTTCCCGTACATAAATGGTGCAAGAGTTACCACCCTCTAGCTCCTGGTATTTTATAAAAGGAAGGATTCTAACACATTTCCTTATTTTTTTAGATCATCTGCCGTTTCCATTCACACTAAGTACAAAATTCTTCCTTTATATCTTCCAGAAATTATACATTGAACTGGATTAAAGGGTTTAATAGCCCTTATCCACATGGAAAAAAATATGCATTAAGAACAATTGCATAAGGAATTTTATTTTATATACAAATATGCTCAGCTTAAATTTTCAGGAGACAAATAAGAGAAGGAAAAATAAGAAAAGATTAGATATTAAGAGGATCGAGGCAAGATTCGACATATTTAAGGTTCATTACATTAATGTAAGCAAAAGCATGGATAATGAAGCTATATTACGTCCAGTTAATTAGTTGGTCTAAAGCCTATCCACTGTACGATTTTCATGAAGGCTGCATGTCACCTGTGTACCAATGGTAAAGAATACTTTATTACCGAATAGAGGAATTAAAGTAAATTGAAAGTGTATTTATACTGACATATATACCACCATCTTTGAATAAGCAATGTTTTTCATAGTTTATACTCATGTAGAGAGAGAGTAGTCAGAATATATATTACTTTTTTTTATTAACACACTGGCCGATTCCCACCAAGGCAGGGTGGCCCGAAAAAGAAAAACTTTCACCATCATTCACTCCATCACTGTCTTGCCAGAAGGGTGCTTTACACTACAGTTTTTAAGCTGCAACATTAACACCCCTCCTTCGCTTGTTTTATATAGCAAGAGGAGCGTTGCTATTTAAGCTTATTCGACACGATATATATATATATATATATATATATATATATATATATATATATATATATATATAATATATATATATATATATATATATAATATTGTACCAATGTAATGTATTCATGTTTGTGTTTTTTATGTTTTTTGTCAATGTATTCTCTCTATAAATAAAGTTCACATAGAATATAGAATATAGGGAGTGGTAGGACTAGAAAATATTCAGCTCCGGGGTGAACCTTGAGTTTTCCCTTAAGGATATATATATATATATATATATATATATATATATATATAATATATATATGTGTGTGTGTGTGTGTGTGTGTGTGTGTGTGTGTGTGTGTGTGTGTGTGTGTGTGTGTGTGTGTGTGTGTGTGTGTGTGTGTGTGTGAGTATATGTCGTGCCGAACAGGTAAAATTTGCGATCATGGCATAAATGGCAACGCTCTTCTTGCCGAGTAAGGCAAGCAAAAATTTGTGTATGTAATAATTTTGCAAAAATCATTCTGAGCCTAACGAAAAAAAATGTTTCATTGTTTTTGTGTATTATTAGATTATTGCAAAATTATTTAAAATATATTTAGATGGATTAGGCTAAATTTAATTGCGCTTGTCATATTAAGATTAGGTAAGTTTTCTAACATTCTTTTGGTACAAAATTATTATTTTTTTACATTAACATAAATGAAAAAATAAATCTTTAAACGTATAAGAGAAAATTTGAGAAAGAACTTAATTTTAAAAGAGTTCTTGCTAATTGACCAATTTTACCTATTCGGCACGACATTTACCGATCTACTACCCTTGCAACTTTTATTACTGACCATGTTTTCTGTATACCACTTTGAAGAGTAAAAACAAAATTAATAAATATCATAAAAATTACAACCTACCCTGCAAAAAACTACATAATTACCAGTTGGTATTACGAGGAATATGGCCTAGTCCACAATATAAGCACTTTCGATATTAAAATTCTCTACATATTCCGTAAGTTTAATAATGTGAAATACACGCAGAGGCTAATTTCCCTTATGGTATTATTACATGCTATGCACTGGTAAAAAAAATTAATTCCCGCTGAACATTCTCATAGATTCTCGCAAACTGCAATGTATAGCTATTTTACTGGAGCTCTCCATGAAGTGCAATATAGATAATGAGTGAGCCGTGATAACCTATATACAGGATGAAACACGGTACTGTGGCTATCATGGGTTATGGTATAATAGCTGGACGTCAGGTGGGAGAACACACGCTCCCGGTAAACAGTTATTTTATTATTGGAATGAGGTAAATCCGCGTGACTCATTCGGAAGGGATAAAGAATAGTTGGTGGGTGTGTGTAATATAGTGATCTGACGTTGTATGGTGGTGACTTTCAGCAGCAGCAGCAACAACAACAGCAGCATCAGCAATAATAGCAACATGTGAGGGACAGCCAAAGATTATTATTCTTTTTTAATGTCTTGATTTTTTTACTCTGTTATATTTCATTCTAAAGTTCAAGTTGTAGTTTATTGTCACTCATTTCTCTCTTTTACACAAGAGTTCTCACAGGGTTAAGAGTTCCCACCTCCATTTACAAGCTAAGAGCTGTTACGTACCTCAGCTCATCTGAAAAATATACCTGACATAATCTATATTATATCTTTATTTTTATGAAACATACAAATGTAGAACAGAATGAAGCTGGGGGGCCAAAAAGGCTGTGGGGGCCAACAGATTTCATTTGGTTAAACGTTACTTTTTCGTCATTTTTTTTCTTTCCCCCCTTTCCCCAAATCTCTCCCTATTGGTCATCTTCTCTCTCTCTCTCTCTCCCCTTCTCTCCGTCTCCCCTCTCCTCTCTCTCCTCTTCCTCTCCCCTCTCTCCCCCCTCTTCCCCTCTCTCCCCCTCTCTCTCTCTCTCTCCCCTCTCTCTCTCTCTCCTCTCCCCACCTCCCTTCCTCCCTCTCTCTCTCTCTTTATTATTCGCCATACAACCTCAAACATTGCATATAACATCTATTCTCCCTGCGTCTCTTTATACCATCGCCTTTCTTACTTATCTGTTTATCATTTAATATTTCTGAATAGATCAAATTATCCATACCTATTAATCTATTTCTCCTGTCGTAGTTTAAATGAATATTCAAATATTAAAATTGTGTACATTTAAACAGTGAGCGAGGGGTTACTAACACTGTACTCCTGAACAGAGAGCGAGGGAGTACTAACACGGTACTCCTGAGCAGTGGAGTGAAATACCAACACTTGAAGCAGTGATGAGTTTAATTTCTCTAATGGAATCATCTGTACAATGTACGAGTTGATTTAAGTTGTACTTATATAATCCTCTCTAACCTAATCTAAAATAAATATCATATACATAGTACTTGTGTAGCTCGTAGCTCAGAAATCGACCCACTGTATCGCCTGCGAAAGCGAACGCTCTGTTTGGAGACCAGGTTGACTAAATACAGGAGAGTTGAGCTGCTAATGACCATATTAGCGAGAGAGGTAACAGGCAGGTAGAGCGAGGCCGCTGGAGACAATGCCGCAGGCAGTGTGCAATATCGTGTCCCTGTGGGCTGGCTCGCCTTCTAATATGAGTGATATGTCCTCTGCTCTCACCGTCGACACGCCCATGTGTATTCCTACTGCCTCGTTTATACATGTGGGCCTGGACAGAGGGATTTGTGTGTGTGTGTGTGTGTGTGTGTGTGTGTGTGTGTGTGTGTGTGTGTGTGTGTGTGTGTGTGTTGTGTGTGTGTGTGTGTGTGTGTGTGTGTGTTTGAACATTTGTTGTGAAGGGCTATTCTTGGTTCTTAGGCCTGCGTCTTAGTTACTTAAGAACGGTCACACTAAATTCCTGGACACATGAGGCCTTTCATGCCTGTTCTTAAAATCGTATGTGGAATCTTCACTCTTTCTAACTACCCTCAGAACGAAGATCATTCCTGACATTCCTAAGAACATTATTGTTTCTATCTTCCATCTGTGCCCCCTGTACTCTGCCTCTTTCTTCGTCTGACTCTTTAGAGATCTATCTTACCCCTTCTTCTAACCTCTAGGAACGATAACTAGAGCTTTTTCATATATGAAATTCGTTCTTAGTCTCTGAGCCAATGTTGGAACTTGCTATAATTTTTACTCTCTCCCTCCCTCCCTCCCTCCTTCCCTCCCTCCCTTCCTCCATCCCTCCCACTTTCCCTCTCTCCTTCCCTTCCTCCCTCCCTACCACCCTCCCTTCCTATCTCATCTTTAAACTTCCTTTCCATCGTCCTACTGCTCCTACAGGAAAGACATACCTGTGGGGGAGCTCCTCCCTCCTCCAGCACTCTCACTGCCCTCCTGATGCCGCAGGCGACGCAGGCTTGACTCTCCCTTACGTTGGACGGATTCCTGGGCAGCGACGAACCCACTCTCTCCCGGAGGTCCGATACAGTCGACTCAAGCTGGATGATACAAAGACATGTAAGAGAATCTTGTTGATAAAGGCAGTTGTAATACTATATATATATGTAATACTATATATATATATATATATATATATATATATATATATATATATGTGTGGTTGTGTGTGTTGTGTAGTGTAGTTGGTGTAGTGTAGAGTGGTTGTGTTGTGTGTGTGTGTGTGTGTGTGTGTGTGTGTGTGTGTGTGTGTGATGGTGTGGTATGTACTAATAATAATTCTGAGAATTATTATTAGTAGGAAAATGAAGATATTGTAATTCATGTATAGATCGTCTCAGTGTAATAAATTTATACCTGAGGTTATTTCTATAAGTTCTCTATTTTTTATATTTTATTAACTCATTATTTAAAAATTAAATACACTGCCATTAACTAATAAATCAGATTATAAACTACAGTTATTCATACAAAAATATTGACAATGCTCCATTTACAATAAATTATTCATTATTCACTAATATTTTTTATAGTATTTTTTACGGCTAAAGAATTGTGATTCAAAATCAGTTTACAATTATTGATTTCATAAAATAAAAAAGTCTTCCTTTATAAAAAAAATGTACAATGATTCTTCTGTAAATCAAGTTAAAATGATTAGTTTCATTTATCGATTTACAATGAGTCTTTTGTTGGTTCAGTTTATAATGACTGTTTTAAAAAAGGCAATATATTGTATTAATCAATTCACAGCGAATCTTCTACAATTCAGATTAAAGAAAAAACAATTCTTTTCGCAAATAGTTATTCATGACTGGCAGAAATAAATTTACTCTAATATTTTGCATGTGAAAATGATTCTTGTATTGTAAATTAGTGTGTTATTA